GTTGTTAACCAATGTCATAAAACAACATGTGTACTACTGTTTCATGAGAAACTATTTGTTCTGTAAGCCTTCACCTGAAGTACAATAAAATGAATAAATAAATAAAACACAAGACTGAGAGCCGTCTAGAGAGCAAGATGAGGCCGGCCCTCACATGTGGATAGTTGGGTGGCTGAAAAAGAGGTACAAATAGTAAAAATGATAGCGCAGTGTCTGAGAGCTCCAGCAAAGGTATAAGACACAGCAGAGACCTGGGGGTTGGGCGGAGTGCTTCCAAGGAGGCATCTTCTGAGCTGGGTTTTTAGGGATGAGTAGGAGCCTGCTGGAGGACAAAAGAGACAAGGGCATTCAGACAGAGGGAGGTGCGCAGAGGAAGGCTCACTCAGAAGGGTGAGAAGGTTTGTCATGAGGGCAGAACCAGGAGCTCTGGACAGGATGTTAATGCAGCTGAAAACCTGGCCTGATGTTACCCCCACCTGGCTTGCAACACACACAGTCTCTCTCTTGTGCTAATCCGATACAGATTCATGTAAGGAAACTTTAAAATACATGTATAAAAATGTCCCTCCCCCACACAGGCCTAGAAACTCAGACACACACACACACCATTCAAGGTGGCAAAGCAAGGATCTGAAGTCGGGGCCCCTGCCCCCCACCCCGGGTCCCCACTTTACATGTTTGTTCTCCGCTTTCCCCATCTGCTGAACATTCCCGCCCTGAGGCGGCATATTTGAGACTGTGCTGGACTGAGGGAGAATGGCTCCAGAGTCAGAGCACATCTGACCCCTGCTCTGCCACTTGCCAGCTGAAAACAATACGAACATTGTTGTGTTAGGTGCCATTGCGTCCATTCTGACTCACAGCAGTCCCAGAGTAGGACTGCCCCATAGGGTTGTCTCGGCTGTAATCTCTGCAGAAGCCAATCGCCAGGCCTTCCTCCCGAGGAGCTGCTGGGTGGGTTCGAACCGCCAACCTTTCAGTTGTTGTTGTTTGGAAATAGGGTCTTTGCGATGCTGTCAGTCAACATGTGTCCTATGAAAGAGGACACAAGACAGAGGAAGAACAACCACGTGACCACTGAGCTGGGCTGCAGGGCAAGCCCCGGAACACCAGACAAAGACAAGGAAGGAGCTTCCCCTAGAGCCTTCGGGGAGAGCACGGCCCTGCCGAAGCCCTCAATTCAGACTTCTAGCCTTCAGAACGGTGGGCGAATAAAGCTCTGTTCTCAAGAGCCTCTCAGTTTGTGCTATTTTGTTAGAGCAGCCTTAGGACATGAATACGCCACGTATCGTTATTAACCATGGGAAGAAAAACCAAACCCCCTGCCAACGAATTGATTCTGACTCACATCGTTGATGTTGTTAGGTGCCATGGAGTTGGTTCCGACTCAGAGCGACCCTAATGTACAACAGAACAAAACACTGGCCATCCTCACAATCGTTGTTATGCTGAAGCTCATTGTTGCAGCCACTGTGTCAATCCATCTCATTGAGGGTCTTCCTCTTTTTCACTGACCCTCTACTTTACCAAGCATGATGTCCTTCTCCAGGGACTGATCGTTCCTGACAACATGTCCAAAGTATGTGAGATGTAGTCTCGCCATCCTTGCTCCTAAGGAGCATGGTTGTACTTCTTCCAAGACAGATTTCTTCGTTCTTTTGGCAGACCTTCAATTGCTCATATGCAAGTTCAAGTTGAAACTGAAGAAAATTAGAACAAGTCAACAAAAGTCAAAGTACGACCTTGAGTATATCCCATCCGAATTTAGAGACCATCTCAAGAATAGATTTCACGCGTTGAACACTAATGACTGAAGATCAGACCAGTTGTAGAATGACATCAAGGGCATCAGACATGAATAAAGCAAAAGGTCATTAAAAAGGCAGGAAAGAAAGAAAAGACCAAAATAGATGTCAGAAGAGACTCTGAAACTTGCTTTTGAACATCGAGTAGCTAAAGCGAAAGGAAGAAATGATGAAGTAAAAGAGCTGAATAGAAGATTTCAAAGGGCGCCTCGAGAAGACAGAGTGTTATAATGACATGTGCAAAGACCTGGAGATGGATCACCGAAAGGGAAGAACACGCTCCAACTCACAGCGACCCCATAGGACAGAGAAGAACTGCCCCATAGGGTTTCCAAGGAGCCGCTGGTGGATTCAAACTGCCAACCTTTCAGTTAGTAGCCGAGCTCTTAACCACTGCGCCACCAGGGCTCCATTAACAATGGAGACCATCACGAAAATAAAAATGAAAGCATAGCCCATGGCAAACATTTTCGTTTTAATGGAACACAAGGCTTAACATAAGCAAACGCAAATCTCATCTAGGGTCTAAGTAGTATATTTGATCTCCCTGGCCCTGCTGGAGCTCACCTTGATACAAGAAATTTCACCTAAACAACCTTAAACCAAAACTGTTGCCATCAAGTCCATTCTGACTCCTGGCGACCCCATGTGTTACAGAGTAGAATCACACACAAGGGCCACAAGCGCAGCTAACATCCCAGTCTGCGAGGAGTCATCAGGGAAGTCTTCCTGGAGGAGGGGACTCTGAAGCAGGAATAAGGAACTGACTCAAAGTGTCCGTACACCTTAGTTTTAAGCCCCCCGGCCCTGGAGGTGAGCTGGGCAGGGTTTCACCTCCAGTTCACAGGAAAAATAACTAGAGCGACAAGTCACTTGCCCAACTTCCCAAACCTGGAAAGTGCCAGAGCTCAGACATGGACCTCCCCCTACTCTCGAACCCCAAGCAGACCCCATCTTCTTTCCACAACCCCACAGCTGCCCAGATAGGGCACAGATTAAAGCCACACGTGCGTCTCCATTCTCCCTTTTCAGGGATCGCAAGCAAGAAAGACCTCTTACATCTTTGCCTTCCCCTTAATATGTTAACTTAATTAGCTCGTTCTAAGGTGCTAGCTTTCTGTTGTGTGTTTTTGAACTTAACTCAGCAAATTAACATTTGTGAATAGGACTCAGTGATGAATTTTAATGACTTTCGTTCATTCATAGTCCAAACAAATTACATATTTGGTGCTTTATTTAATATGTTTATTGCCACTTTATTATAGTCGCTTGTAACGAAACAGCATAAAATATTTATTTAAAGAGGCAATCTCATGGCTTATCTCTCAAAGTGGCACACAGAATTTTTTTTTTTAAAAACATTGCCTAATGATACACATCGTTCCCTAAAGTCATAATGAATGGATTTTGACAATTACAGCTGGCCCTGGGACAGGCATGAGTCACGGCAAGATGACAGTTAAAGCAGAAAGTCTACAAGGGACGTTTCTAATACCCATCTTCCATCTGCAAACTGACAGCCCAGGCGTTCAAACGCTGCGCCACCACATCCTGAAAGGTACTTGCTCAGAACCCAAGAACAAAGGTGTCCCTGGTGACATTCATGGAGCCAGGAGGGTGACAGAAATTACTCAACCTTCCTTCACACTTAACCCAAGTCCCTACAACCCAGGTCCCTAGGCGTTGCAAACAGTTTGTGCTCGACGACTCACTTAAAGGTCAGCAATTTGAACCCACCCAGCAGTACAGCAGAAGAAAGGCCTGGCAACCTGCTTCCTTGAAGATTTTAGGTGTCATTGAGTCGATTTTCCACTCATGGCGACCTCATCTGACAAAGTAGAACTGCCTCATAGGCTTTTCTAGGCTGTGACCTTTATGTGAGCAGATCGCCAGGTCTTTCTCCCTAGGAGTGACTAGATGGGTTCGAACAGCCAATCTTTCAGTTCGTAGCTGAGTGCTTACCCACTGCACCACCAGGGCTTCTTTCTGTAAAGATTACAACCAAGAAAACCTTATGGGGCAGTTCTACTCTGTACCACATGGGGTCGCCATGAATTGAAATGGACTCCACGGCATTGAGTATTACTCAGGCTTTCGAAGTCCGCGAGCTAGGCGGTTTTTTTCTGCTTTTGTTTTTCATTTTTAAAGTTTGTTCGAATACAAGAAGACAGAAGTACAGCTTCTGAACAGCAAGATACCCGTTGCCAAAACCAAACCCACTGTGTCGAATCAATTCTGACTCCTAGAGACCCTATAGGACAGGGTAGAACTGCCCAATAAGGTTTCCAAGGAGCGGCTGGTGGATTCCAACTGTTAACCTTTTGGTTAGCAGCCGAGCTCTTAACCACTGCGCCACTAGGGCTCTGAACAACAAGAGAGGTAGCCTGAAAATCACTGTTAGAGTTATCAGGCTTAGAAATTGATGATGGAACCCTCAGCTGGCTGAGGCAGGCACGGCCACAGTGGAAACACGGATCATTACGCCCAGGAGGGTGCCCGGCAGACTGAAAGCAGAGCCCACGTGCAGAAGCCTCCAAAACTGGGAGAGTGGCCATTGCGGGACCGCTTGAAAACCCTGGGGCGCTGGCTCAGCCACGTTCTCACCAGCGCCCCCGCAGGGGCCCATGGTCACTGCAGGCACATTCCCTGGTGGGGAGGGGTGAGGACCAAGGAGTGGGTCCGTCAGCACGTTGTCTCGATTTTTACAGACTGAGAAGGAAGCACCCTGTTGTGACACTTGCTGCAGTTATATTTGGGGGAAACATTCTATCGGACACATACCGTGTTCTCTTGTTAATTTACTCACAGAGTGCTTACAAAACGCCTCTTAAGTGAAGGTGAGTGGGTGTGTGTCTGAGTGGGAACACGCCCCACCTCTGCCCCCATTCAACAGCCAAAGCATGTCACATGGTCATGCTTCATTGGAAGGCAGTGGGCCTGAGGGTGCAGAGGCCACCCCATCACAAAAGCTGGGAGCTGGGCGAGGACCCCCGGCCCCCGGTTCTCTGCACACAGGTGCCCAGACACATGCACACACACAGAGAACAGCAAGCACCAGCCTCACCAACACACTTGCACTTCGTTGTCCTGCAGGGTTAGCTCAGCTGTGGTGCCAAAGGTCTGAGGATGTTTCCCTGGACACGGGAGCACCATGGTCCAAGGAAGGAGCAGAGGTCACTTCCGGGGCTCACTTACTATTGCAGACTGACGCCAAACTGCTGGGTAGGCAGGGGCGGCCGTGGCGGAGGCGTCTTAGTCGGAGGGGGCGGCCTGCCCCTGGGCAGGTTCCGGAGCTTCTCGTCGTACCTGCGGACACAACAGAGGCAGATGCTGGGGGGCCCGACGCTCCAGGAACGTCTGCAGAAGGCCTGACAGCTCAGACGCCCACGGCCACGGCCACATCTCCATCACACACACGTGCACACACACGTGCGTGCACTGGCACATCCCCATCACACACACACGCG